ATAATGGCGAAATAATTAGCGTAAGAAGATATTTTATTTTCTATAATAAGTCGACACTTGTTTAAGCCCTACTTTGCAAGTTCCTCGATAAACAGATGAATTTCGTACCAGTAACGCAGAAAGCGACACAGGGACGTTAAGAGCATCAACGGACCCCTGAGCCGCGTAAAATATTAAGCTCATTTTACACCTCGTCTGCGGTAATGCCTTCAATTTATCAAAAAATTTATAGCCTGCGTTACTAATGCGCGATCATAAACGTTCCATACAATTTTCCCATCAACGACACCGAAACGACGACGAGGAAGCGGCCCGAGGAGGTTAGGAGAGACCGGATGCACCAGTCGGGGGCGAAGCATTACCGGGAAGTTAAAAAAGGGAAAAGAAGAAAGAAGGAAGCAAAAAGGAAAAGATAAAAGACAAAAATGAGAAAAAGAACTCGAATTGGTATTAATAAATCTTTTTCGAGATCGCGCTGCAGCTAAATCGTTTCCCAGAATCAACGTAGCTAACCCCTTAATAAATAATTTGCAACGTGCATTTTCTTCGGTGCTTCCCCCAACACTTTTCCCCCCCTCCGTCGCCGTCTAGTATCTTATTACCGATTAAAACGATCAAAATGAAAGCGCGTCCTTTTTTGAATCCTTTTTTGAAGGATTGATTCGCCAAGGATGAAACGCCGTTAAACGAGGGCAATATAGGGTGGCGTGTAGGGGGTGAGTGTTGGGGGTGAGTGGAGGAGCCGTAGGAAGCAATTGCAATTAATATCGTCGTCGCGGAGCAGCAGAGTGGCCTTTATCGTTGCAGCCAGGCGAATTACGGACGAAAAATCTTCACGCAGCCTGTACGGCTGTAGATAAAACTTTCAAGCTGCTGGAACAAGTACTGCAAACCATAGTTACGACCCTGGGGATCATGAAACGTTAACTATGTTGGAGCAGCACGAAAAGAACGGGAATATGGGGCGGACATAAGGGAGGCAAAGGAAAAGGTGGAGGAGGCGGAGGAGGCGGTGGAAGTGCATTGTTGGAAAGGATATAATGGAGCAACTAAGACACTCTATTAAGTTATCCTCTGGTGTGCTTTCAAAAAACACTAGGTAGAAGAATAGCGCGGCCCCGTTTAAATATTAAACCAAGCCGGAAAAATGATTTGAACAGCGCCGTGGAACGAAAAGAAACTGCTGATACCTTTTACGCTAACGTTCCACACGATCTACGGGGTAAATGTGTCTGAGACGATCTCGTAATCTCAACGATTACACGTCCTGTGTTTACTTGGGCTCCAGAGATACGTTCACCGAGTGGATCTTTCTGTTCCATCGCAGCTGGTTAATCAGGTTCGCGCTATTTGAACGATCGTGGTTCTTTTAGGGGGTGTTTCAGGAGCTACTAAAACTGCCTCTTTATACATTGGTTAGTTCTTATCGTTAGTTATCTAGATCCTGGAGAGTGAATATTTGGAAGAAAATGAATTGAAGATTTTCTTATTAGCGAAATCTTGGTAAGAAAATTCGAGGGCAAAGGGTTAATGCAAGGAAGACGTACGTCAATTTCCCCTAGATAAAAATCCCCGGAACAGGAATTTCCTGGAATCATTCGACGAATTCATGCAAACCGGTTACAAAAGGGGATCTTAAAGCCTTGACGTGAAGAAAACGGCGACGCAGAGGAAGTTGTAAAAGTTTTCGACCACCGGTAGGGAGCATCTATAGGGCCGGCGAGGTTTCCGCGCAGAAACGTCTGGCCCCGATGAAAAGACGTAACAAGTGGAGGAGGACGATGACACGGATCTTTTGGCCCGCAGGACATGTCCGTGTTCTTTGACAAATCCGGCAAAGCGAGTGGCCACTTTGACAAAAAATGTCCGTGGGAAGTCGAAGGGAAGCTTTAAGCGTCGCTTTCAAAGCCGCGTACGCGGCCTGTTCGCGACCTGAATTTCGTTCAGCCTTTTGTTCTGCTCGCACTGGATCCCCGTTCTCCTCGTATTTGTTGCGAACGCAAAAATACGCGAAACACGGTCACTTCCTCTTACCAGTGGACTGCTTACGATGAAAATTTCGTGAATTTTTCTCTTTCTCCCTTTTTTTTCCATCCCTTTCCTTTACCTCGCCGGCGCGCCATTTTCATGCGGACCATATCGCCAAGTCTTTTAGCTTTTGTGCGTACCACCATACGCGTGCTCCTCGTTTTTACCTCTTCTTTCTTCCCATTTGTAAAATAACCACAACGCGAGTGGTATTAACAACCGATTTGTGTGCTAATTTTAGTACGTTTCTTCGTTTAATTGCTCACTTGTTTTGCAACGGACATCATTGTCACGTCTGAAACCAAACAGTACCTCGACAGATACTTGAAAGTAGACGAAAATGTATTTTTCCTTTAACGCGTATCTTTGCGATATTTGGACAATTGTTTCAACGGGAACAGGGAATGGATGCCAAATCCAAAGGAAAAGACGTTCTTAAGATTTAATGAAATACGATCTGAGATCAGTATCCCTTAGATCCCAGAGATCCCTAGATTGAGACGGGTCTCATAAAAAGTACAAGAGAGAGGTAAAATTTTTATTTAAGACTTGCAACCACATGGATACTATAAAGTGATGCAAAATTATGTCAATGGTGATAAAAAAATTAACCACAACCTTATATCTCATTAGGGGGACCCAAAAAACCGCAAGAGGCATTGGAAATCGGGGTCGTACCATTCAAGTTTCGGCTGTGGCCGCAAATCCGGACTTGAAACCACATGAATATCATAAAATGACGCAAACATACGTCAGTAGTCGTAGACAAAATTTGGGAGAACTCGACATTTCATGGGGGCCCCAAAAAATCGCAAGAGGACTTTTGAAATTAGGGTCGTACTATTCAAGTTTCGACTATGGCCGCAAATTTGGACTTGGGACAACGTCGTGGAACACTTCCCAGTCCTTGCACTACCTATTCCTCATGCCAATCGATAATCCCGTTGAATTGTAAACCTCGACCGATCTCCCCCGATATTCTGATATTTATTCTACTCGGCTCTCAGTTCCCATGGCGTCTAGGTACCTCCCACGACTGCCTGTCCAGGTTATAAACAGATCTTTAGGGTTGATTAAATCGCGACAAGTGTGCCAGGCGTGCTCATGCTCGGATTTAAATAAAGATAACGAGCCCAGACTGCAGTCGCTGGCTACCTGGTCTGTTTCATATTCATTAATTATTATATAGAATCGTCGCGGTCGGCGGAAGCGGGAATAACAGGCGTAGTCTTTGCTCGTCCAACCATTATGGCCTCTTTTTTCCTCGTGTCCCGGCTATTCCATCCTTCAGCCACGGCAGCACTCATCTTTTGTAACCTTTCCCCGACGTCTGTTCGACGTTGTTTCTCCTTTTTATACCGAGACCATGCGCCTCCTGAAGGATCGATATAACGCTCAGCAGAAGCGATTTCGCCGTTTGGAAATTGCTCCTTCTTGTCTGCTCCTATCCAGGAAGAAGAACGACGAACCGTTTCCTCCACTTCCTTTTGTTTCCCCTTCATTGTTTTCGCCGTTCTACCGTTCGACTCCGAATTGTTGTTGTTCTTGCCGACGATAGACGTGGGCTGGCGTTTTCGTGGACCGGCGTCTTCGTGGCCTTAATTGTCGATAAAAATGGACTATGGGAAATCAGGTACTCGGATGGTCCGTTCGAATACACGCTAGGAATCCACTTTAAACGGCGCTTTTGTGCCTGATCGATTGACCGATGCTTCTAGGAATTAACACCGTAGGAATTTGTACTTCCAACGTCCGTCAATGGGTGCTCACGGGTCTCTCCAACCATGAATGCGTGGCACGAGGTGTTTTTGAGGTGGTGTTGGAACATGTCATGGTAATCAGGAGTGAGTTCCAGGGGTCTCGTGTTGATAGAAGAATTCTTTCGTTTCACGAGTTTAGCAGTACTGTACGAGCTTCACGAGGAGGAAGGAATGTGGTCCTGAATGGCGAGAGTGAGGAAGGTTTAGTATTAAAGACGGTTAAAGTTGGTCGAAGAATAAGATGATACCGAATTTGCTTTTCTGAATAATCTTGTAAATGAAAAATCATTCGAACGAATGATAATGTTCAACGTTTCATTCGTGAAATTTGTTACGCGTTACTAGGACTAAGTAATGAAGTTCGTTCATGTTAACAGACAACTGATAATTACGGTCTTGGTTCTCCCCATAAACGAAGCTCAGGGTACGTCCGCTTGATAAATATTCAAACGAGTGTAAAGCACGGCGAGGCAATAAAGGGGTGGTTTTTCTTTTTTAAGGGAAGACTTTCAACTCCTAAATTTGACTAATGAGAGGAACGACGATCCGCAAGGCTCCCCCGGGGTGAAAATGAAATTTAGCTGGTAATTCGCGATCGAGTAAACAATGATTAATCATAGCTCGAGGAAATTGTACAAGGGTTGGACTTAATTTCGGCAAGAAAACTCATTCGTCTCGTTCGTGTCTCGACTGTCAGGGCTGTGTCAATTATTTCTACTCGATCTATCTTGTCGAGTTCTCCACTTCTGCCCTTTCCGAGCTATTTCGTTGTAGCTGTCTTAATATCTCCTTGCCGGATCTGCCGATTGATGCGGATGATTATTCTGTCTTCTTAATTCCTCTTCATGACGCTTTTTAAATAACCTATTTATCTCGAAGTCATCTGAATTAAAAGAAGATCGAAATAAGATCGAATCCTCTATCGGTATGGCGAAATAAACTCGCACAGAAACGCACGCTTCCCAAGTCCTCCGAATTCCTCTCCCTTCGGGACAGGTTTAAAAATCGTTCCCGAACAAAGTCCTAAACACGGCTCTTTATGCAAACGCGCCTACAGGATAATAGGACACGATAGAAACTGCCGTGCCGAGATAAGGGCCACGAAACTTGTCGATTTCTTATATCGGAGATAAGAAAAGTTGGCGGCGGAAGAACGATACGTTCGTCGAGTCGAGAGGGGTGGAACGAGAGAGCAAGAATGAATTTACTCACCACCCTCGATGGAAATCGGCGTAATGACCGTGTCACCCCCTTTGATCTGAACGTTTCCGCGATACCAGACGATCGAGGCAGCTGGTTTCGCCGATCGAACCACGCATTCCAAGCGACGAGAATCGCCAACCTTTACGTCGATCTTCTTCTTGTTCGGGTGGTTGCTGATCTCCACTTTTTGAGGCGGCGCTGCAACACACGAGATAAAAATATACGTAAGTATGTGGGAAAATGTTTTACGTACATATACGTGTATTATAAAGCCGGGATTTTGGTGGGAACTTTGATTAAAGTGCAAGAATCTTGAGTATTAGAGACTGGTGGAAGAGTCGAATTGTTGAGGTCAGGTTTATTCGAGATGGCTGCTTCATAATAGTATTACTGACCTATGATATTTAATTAAATGCAGTATATGTGAATAATAATAATTGAAATGGCACGATGAAGATAAATAGGTTTATATAATCAGGCTCCTATTCGAATAAAGATTAACATTATTTTTGCCAAAAGGTAATTGTAAAAATAAAATATTTTGAACAACTAATTTTGATTCGTTTGGTATTTAATGGTATTTAGGTAAACTGAAATAAATCTAAGAGATGATATATACGTATTATACAGACTTACCGACAAAAATTAAGAAATAAAGTAGAAATTTGCGAATTTTTATATATTTCTTATAACACGTTATCTCTTCATTTTATTTTTTATTTTAATATACATGTGTATCTTAAAAGATAAATTCGCGAATAATCATCTCCTTCCTAAATTTATGTCAGTAAGTATAACTGCGTTCCGTAAAATTTATGCACGTGGAATAATATTAAATAATTTTGTATTACCAAATTTTATATCAGACTGTGTAATTACTTATCTTTACATTCTCAAGGAAGATCATCTTTAAATCTCACAAAAATTATTTTATCAGCTTAAGAATCTCGTTAGAACAGGTAACAAAAGTCCGACCAATAACGTGTGACGACTTACAAATTGCACGATAATATGTTCCCAATTTTACCTAGAATTTTAATCGTAATTTTCGAAGGATCGCGAAGTCACTCGTTACACGATCCCATATTTTCCCAAGTAGATTGGATTAAACGAAAATGAGAGGCACCGCTGCTGCTTGACGGGGCTGGCGAAAAACAGGGATTCTAGTCTCACAGGGTGTTCCTGCCCTAAACTACCGTAACATAAAAACTTCGTGAGGGATGAAAAACCGTTCTTCAAAAGTTCCAGCTAAAAACTAACTTCCGCGTGCTTAAGCTCCCTTTTTCACGAAGAATTCTGCGCCAGGACAAACATACTGGAAAGCAGCAGCCAGACGTGTACCTCGAAAACCACTTTTCATGTGTTTCAAGCGCGAATACGCAACCACGTTGCCCAGTTCGCAGCTTGTCATCGCGAAGTAAATATGACTTGGTCATTTACAATCTCTGAATCTGATTATCTCCCGTTTTAATCCCAAAACATGTAGCTGACGTAAAAAACTCCGAACGATAAACCACGGACACAATCCGGCGATCAACCCTGTTGTCGTCTTACCCCGAAACAGGGGTAGGTATCTTTCATCGCCAGGTAAATAGAAATAAATAAATAAAATGAACGTACGATAAGTAGAATAAGTAAAATTATTGTCCAGTAGATCTCATTTTTTATATGCATGACATGTATACGTTTTCATGTAGCTTTTTATACTAATCGCAAAATTATAAGAAATTTCTCTAAATCACTTGTAATTTGAAACAGTTTCGTAATACTGTACATAAATACGAGTGAACTTTTTAAAATAAAGTTGTTAAAAAATAAACTCCTAAATAATTTTTAGGATAAGAAAGAATCTTCTGCTTTTACATTTTGCGTAATACTCCATTTTAACTAAACATACAGAGGAAATAAAAATATTTTGACATACATATACGTATCATGAAAATTTATGAAAAAGTGAAAACGACTGCAATTATAGTTTATAAAAAATGTACAAATTATGAAATTTATTATTAATAACAAATTGTTCATAACGTAAATTTATAATAAAAGTGAAAAAATAGTTCGGTTGAAATAAACAGGCACGTGCAACAGGAGAAAAAATTGGACTCATGGAACATCATTAGTGTAGAGTCATTAAATGTCAAGAATTATATTTTATAGTGAGAAAAAATTGAAGCAGTAATAGAAATGTGTAAGGTATGATATGCTATTGGATTCTAGATTGGCTAACCATATGACATACCAGATAGAAATATTTGATGATCAAATAAAAATTCAGAAAAGGAAGATGATTTAGGCAGACAAAAGGGAATAAAATTAATTTAGATGATGTCTTCTTATAAGAACAGGATATAGAGAATACAGTGAGATTGAAAGGTATGTCGTATTCCTGATCTGAATAAATATTAATATCAGTGGTTAAAGTCACTGATCGTTGCTAATCTGTTAAGTTTCAAATTGATGGAGCTGAGGTACATATAAAGAAAAGAAAGAAGTTCTAATAAAAGCAGTGAGAAAAGGAAATGTATATTACATAGAATCAAGAAACAGAAAAGAGGCAGCATATGTCTCAACAGAGAAAGATGTGTGGCATCGACATGTAAAAATAAGGATCATTGAAGAGATGGAGAATGAAGAATTGGTAATAGTTCTGAAAGGTAAAGATAAATTGAATATAGAGTGTGAATGTTGCTTTCAGGCAAAAATCAGTAAAAACACACATAGGAACTTGGAAAGTATAAAAACAGCAGGAATAATGGGGCTGTGACACATGGATTTGATTGGACCAGTTAAGCCAATGTCAAAAAGAGGTAAAAGGTACCACTTATCTATTGATGATTATTGGAGAGTGATTATTGATCTTCCTTTTATAGGAAAAGTGTCAGACAGCTGAGGAAATAAAAATATTGGTAACATTTGAAGAAAATTAATCTGTGAAGAAGCTGAAAAGTATTTATATGCTTAAACAATAGAGGTGAGTTTGTCAGACAAGACCTTCAAGTTTGTTTAAATCAAAAGGAAATAAAACATCATTCCAGTCCAGTAAGGACACCGCAGTGTGATAGGGCTGCTGAGAGGAAGAAAAAATCCACCATAATTCAATGAATATTGAGAATTATTAGGGAAATTCATGTATTTGAATACATATGTCTTGCCAGACATCTCATTTGTAATAGGATGCTTGTTATAGTTTAACCATGATCTTAAAATGATGGACATGAATAGATTGAAGGGAATATTAAGATATTTGAGGGTGTGTATTGTTTTGAATTTGGAAAAGGAACAGAAACCAATGAAATGTGTTGTAAGGATATATAGATTGATATGTGAAGTTCTCCTGAAAAAGGAGGTGAAAAAGATTGTGATGTGTAACAGATTGAATGCGATGCATGTAGAAAATTAAATCTAAGCTCCTACATAGAAAAATGTTGTTATATAGAAGATGTAGTAAAAACTAAGAACTTATAAATTTGTTACGTACCAGATAAAGAAACAAATGCTGACTGTCTAACTAAACCACTGAATGGCCCAAATTTGTTAAAGAATGTAAAATACTTTATGGGAGTGTTAAGAGAATAAAAAGAAGAGGGGAGAATGTGTGATAGTTATTTATATTGTTTTATTGTTTTATTTCTTCCACCCAACATGGCATAGGTTAGGTAAACTCTTTTATTAAAAGTACTATTTAATCAATCTCAATTTTAATAATAACATTTCACGTTTGTCATAAATATACTTGAAACTGAACGTAAAACCATCTTTTTAGTAATGGGAAGAATATTTGAAGCTTTATTATAACCGAGTGATACGTACTTTCTTTGGACAGGTCTGACAGGTTTCGTTGAAGAAGTAAGTTTAACCACTTATAGATTAGTAACTAATGTTCCCAAGAAGAATTGTCAATAAAGGTGATCATAATGCTCATTTATAAAATTTTGTAACTAATATATATATTATGTATTACTATATATTATATTTTCTTATTAATT